CCGCTCCTAAGTCCGAAGTCTAGCCTGAGAGACTGGAAGGGAGGGAGCAGCACCACGAGGCCGCCTCCGAAATCACTCCGGGAGCCGCAGGAGCGTTCGGCCGCTCCAGTTTCAAGGCCCTTCCGGGCCCGCGCCCCGCCCTACGGAGCCACCGGATTTCGGGGAGGGGGAGAGGAAGGGCTGCCCAATCTCTTCACCAGGCTGACTTGACAACAATTACGAGAGTTTTAAATTAGCTTCTTGTTATCATTCATTTTATTAATTTCCAGAATCCTCAGGCCATGAATTATTCAAAGGGCAAGCCAACCCGAGCGGGGCGGCCGCGCGCCCCCGCCGCACGTGCCCGGTCCGGCTCAGGCCGAGCCGCTTGCCCGCTGCCCCCGGAGGGCGTGAGGCGGCCCGGCCCCTCCCGCCGCGGTGGCGCAAAGGTTTGATCAAATATTAAATAACGTAATTATTGCGACAAGGCTTATCTCGCAGGTGGGAAAGAGGCCCCCCGTGAGATTTAGAATTCGGCTGCTATTTTTTAAAAATCAATTAAGCTTGCGTTCTCCCCTGGAACCGCTCGCGAGGACTGGGGCTAAGACTGCAGCGGCAGTAACACCCATCAGCAAAACCGCACCAGAGAATGACTGTGGTCGTCACCTTTATCACCTCGCGGGCCACCAAGGCCATTCGAATGGGGTGGGGAACGCTGCTTTTAGCCAGGTCAGAAGTCACAATTCCTACCTCACGGATTCGACTATGAAAGCCCATCCAAGTGAAAGATGGGGTAGGGATGCTTCAGGCAAGGTTGGCGGAAAGACCGGGGAGACGGGGCAGGGGGCTGAGGGCGGGAGCTCGCCAGGTGAGTCCTCGGCCCAGGGCGCCCTGTCCTCTCTTGGCGCGGCCAAGTGTAGGAACCGGACCGAAGTCATCTTAATACCACAAGAAATTAAAAGTCGATACAGTCACGGCAGTGGGTGCCTACGGTTTATTTATGAGGGTGTAATCGAAGTTGAGAGAAATTTCAGAACACGCATTAAACAAAAATCTATTAAGAAGTTAGTTAAAGCGGCTTGAGGACATCATTTCCTAGACCTACAGAAGTAGCGGGACCCGGAACTAGGACTGGGGAAAAGAGAAAATTTAAAACGAATGGGTGGCTTAAACGTGGTAGATGCATTTTATGCTTACTTTTCTATTGCCTTTCCTACTCCACCACTGCCTGCATTTCCTGAGAAGCTGAAATGCAAACAGCACAATTTCCCCACTCCAACTTATTTTTAGATTATTTAAAAGAACCGGAGCCACGCTATTTCCACCCACTGACTAGTGCCAGAATTCACTTGAAGTTCCGTTCTTCAGAACCAGAAAACTTTGAAAGGTTAACTACCTCTGAGTAGCAAGCCTTAGCACTCTCTCCAGGATGATGTTTGTTAGCTTGTTTATTTGTTTGTTCGTGAATTGACAGTTAAAGGTATCTTAGAATAGTCTTAATATTCCTTGAGGCAGTACACAGATTCAGTCACTAGATAGCAAGGCATTTCCTGTTTTGTTTTGCACAGCTTCCTACTACGTAAAATAGGAAACTCTGCAAAGCATGTATTTTCATAATATGTTTTATTAACATAATATTGTCTTCTCTTTATTTGGTAAGGATTTTACTTAATACAAAACAAATGCTTAGGTTCTTATTACATACATTAGTCATCATTATATAATACAAATATATTTGCCTGCAACATTTCCGTTCGGGGCAGATTTTTTTAAAAAAACAGCCTCTGTAAATCTGTTTATTTGGTCATTCCTGGTTCTCCAACAATGAAATCCGGTCATACTTTTCTATAAAATAACGTGGGTATTTTTTTAAACAAATGTATTTTATTTAAAACTTTGATGACATTTCAAGTTAATAACAACAGAAACAAATCAATTTTGATGGAAGAGATCTATTTTAAAAATACCTCTAGTGATTTTTTTTAAACATTAACAATTGTTTAAAATCACAGCTTTTTAAATGTACTCTTCTTTTTTGAACATCAAGCATTTTGTTTCACAGATTTGCCGGTGAAATTAAAAAGATTTGGCTAAAGTAGGATGACTTCAGAAGATATAATCCCAGCTATTAAGAAACTTTTTACATTTGGCATCTGATCTAGTCCCGGGTCACCAACAGAGAATCTCTGGTCCCTCTGGAGCAGTAGGTGGCACACTAAAGTTCCAAATGAACAGAGGCATTTGACACCATGGCTGGACAGATCAGTGGATGGTTTTGGTTAACCTCCAAATAAAAGTCATTTAGTTACAACATTTTCTTAGAAACGTTTTTAGGCTAGAACAACACATACAAACCTCCAAATGCCTCTGCACCGAACCTTGATTTAAATATTTTGAGAGTGCGTGGTTATTACCTTCCACCACTCTGAAGTGAGGGCTGTGCTTGAAGGGTTTCTGCAGTTAAAAAAAAAAAAGAAAACTTTGATAAACACAGGCAACTAATAGAGAATTCATTTTATTCAGAGCACCGCTTTCACATGAGTTATCTGAAAGTGAATTCTGATTCAGCAGAAAAATACATCATTCTCATCCTTTCCCCTCTTTTCACCTCCCTTTCAACGTCCTCCCCTTCCCTGTATTTTTGGTTGAATTGAGTCTCATTTGTTGACCGGCTCTCCCAGGACTTTGGCCCAGTATAAACACAAAAATGCACCCAAATCATAAAACTGCTCTTCTTTCAGTTATATTTTATTTGTAAGTGTACTGGGACATATCGCCCTGTTGTATTTTGGCGCACAGAAGTGGTTCTGATAAAAGTGGGGAGGAAGGGAAGATAATAGAGCAAAGACATAACCAAGGAAAAAGCTCAGCAGACATACATGGACAGGTAGATCCATCCGTGAGGCATTTCAGGATTAACACTGGCAGTTCGTAACCACTGTGTGAGTGTGTGCATTAAAGAAAATATTTACAGTAATCTTCCTTTTTTCCTTTTCCTCTAAATACAAGAATATGACAAGAATGTTGTGTTTTCGGTGAAAACAGGCAGTAGACTGTGAAATCACACTATCCACAAAACGGTCTATCAGAAAGCTAGCCCAGTTTAGTGCTCAGTTTCAAATGCATAGAATGTTTGCGCTGCAAACAATGATATACAATGTAATTAAATAAATAATGCCTAACCAGAGTGAGACCTAGTTGTGTTTCTTTCTGCACCTTTCAGATCATGCATGATTTCAGTCTTGTTAAATGGCAGGTTTTTTCTTTTCTCATCTGTTCTGTTTTCAATTTTTTAGTTCTTATTAAAGGATGGTAATAAACCATCTCCACCCGAGATCAAAAGAGTGTCTTGTGCACCAAACAGGCATTTTACCTAACCACCTTCAATTTTTTTTTTTTAATCCATCAGTAGTTCATAAAGTACCTTGATTATTACTATGAAATACTATACATGATTTTCTATTTGGGAGACTGATAGTGCAAATTAAAGTTCTTGCTACCCAACATTTATCCCCAGCAATAAATTACTTTTGGATAATAATAATAATAATTTAATAATAATAATAATGAAACAGTTGTTCTGCTTCCCCCCCCCACTCCCAACATGCAGACCCTTTTGAAAGAAATGGAGGGCTTTAAACCTGTCTTCCTCTTATCTGGGATTTAGTTGATTTTCTCACAGCCAAGTCCTGCTCCAAGTGAAAGCAGAAACTTCTCAATATTTCAATGATTTCATGTTCTCCAAGAGAGAAGAAAGGGGACCTAGAAGAGCAAGATGGGTCCTGTTCTGTGGAGAAAATGGGACAGCGTATCTCTCCTACTGTCTGCCACCCCATCAATCTACTTGAATCAACAGGGGGAAAAAAAGTAGATAGTTTAAAATAAGCCACTCAGAAAAATAAATGAAAGGGCAAGCAAGTTCTATGAGTGGGGAGGGGGCGGAAAGCTTAGTTTGAAATGGTCTGTTTTCTAGATCTTAGATATGAGAGCAAAAATGGAAAGAGTAAAAAACTGGTTAAAATTGTTCTATTTTCCTAGAATAAAATATTTATTTCGGAGCCTCTAATTTCTGCTTTTTAGTCAGCCCAAAGACTATGCCTCTCTCCCTAAAGACCCCCATCTGACCTATCAGGCCACAGGAGTATAGGCTGGGTCACTGGAAAACCTGGACTTCACCTAAACAAGTAGCCACCCGCCACCCCTTTCAGCTGTGCCCCTACTCACTTTCTGGCAATGGAGAGCAGCCATCGGAGTCTCATTGGAAAAGAGAAAATAAATCAAAGAGGGCTTGGATGGGGTGTAGGTGAGACTTAGAGGAAAGATTAAATTAAACACACAAGCAGAACAACTAGCTTTGCTACCCAGAATTTCACCTTCCGGTTCGTCTGATGTTCGGTCTTTGACTCAGTTCCTGTGTGTAGGGCTGGGCGATAGTAATAACGTGGTGCTCTTTTTTCTCTTCCTTGGGGGCGGGGAGGGGGGGGAATGAAGCTGCAGAACACGACTCTCCGGAGTTAAATTTCTAAAGCATTTTTTTCTTTGCTTTTGTTCTGTTTTGTTTTCGTTTGTCTAGTTTTTGGTGGTTGGTAGGTTTTTTTGTACATAGCTCCTTGGTCCCCAGGAGATTTTGATAAGTGTCTCTGGTCAAAAACAGTCAATTTCCCTACCCTTCCCAAGTCTCCCCCCACCCTCACCCCCAGAGCCATCCTGCCCCTCACAACCCCTCCTCCACTCTCCGCTTTCCTTCCCCCGACTCCCCCACTCTCACAAATGCTCCCTCTTCTCACCCCGCCCCCCGCCCTTCTCTCTGGTGTCCACACCTGCACCCCAGTCCTCTAGGCTGGGGAGGGTAAGGGCAGGGAGAGCAGAGAGGAGGTGGAGGCGAGCGCTCGAGGAGGGGCTCCCCAAATGCAAGCAGGACAACGGACACTCTAAATCCGGGGGGAAAGAGGCCCGGGGAAAGCCCCTCGAAATGCCCCTTCGGCTCTCCGCTCTGCCCCGCCCGGTACCTCCCATCCCCCTCAGTAAGTGGCGGAGAATTTCATCCGCTTCTGCTTCTGTCTCTGGTTGCAAAACCACACCCGCACCACGTTCTTTTTGAGGTCCAGTTTCTCGGCGATGGCGGCGATCTTCTCGGACGAGGGCCGGGGCTGTACGGCGAAGTAGGCCTCGAGCGAGCGCTTCTCGGGCGCGGCGATGGAAGTCCGCTTGCGCTTCTTCTCGCCACCGTTGAAGAGCTCGGGCTTGTTCATTTTCTCGCGCTGCGCGCCCTCGGCTTCCTCCAGCCACGCCTGCAGGATGGGCTTCAGCGCGATCATGTTGTTGTGCGAGAGCGTGAGCGACTCGAACCTGCAGATGGTGCTCTGGCTGAGTGAGCCCACGCCCGGGATCTTGAGGTTGGCCAGCGCCGAGCCCACGTCGGCCTGCGTCACACCCAGCTTGATGCGCCGCTGCTTGAAGCGCTCGGCGAACGCCTCGAGCTCGCGCGGGTCCGTGTCCGAGTCGCAGATGGACGCCAGGCCCGCCGCGCCCACCACGGCCGCCGCCGCCGACGCTGCCGCCACCTGCCCGGCCGCCGCCGCCGCCGCCGCCGCCGCTGCCGCGCCGTGGTTGAATTATTAAAAGAATTAATCTTTGCTAGAAAGGATAAAGCGTTAACTTCATTGCTCTAGGTCTTTACTGGATTTCACATAAACACATACTGAAAGCATTAGCTGAAATATTGTGTTCCATTTACTGTTCCACGAAATTCATTCAAATGTAAGCCTCTTCTTTGGCCATGCTGGCTTGTACAAAGGGAAAAATCAAATTCCCAATCATCCTCAGCACCTAGACTCATATCCAAAGTCTTTAGCACCTCCTGGCATTGAATAAGCGCATAGCCAGAATGTCTTCTGCTACTTCCCAGTTTAGCTCTATTGAGACACAAATTCTTGGAAGGCCCAGCCTGTAGATTTCACATGAAGAGTTTTTTTTCTTTTCTCCTTTTAGAAGAAGAAAATCTTTTCTGTACTGAGGCTCAGGAGCCTGAGACAGCCACTCAGTTCCCTTATATTTCATAATATTCTGAAGAATATAGCCAACTGTTCATGAAGCCTCAGCCCTATAACCTACTTCTCACCTTCATTATTTTTTCTTTAATTCAGAGCGCCTAATTAAGAAATGAACACAGAAACATTAGTCACAATATTTGTGTATTTTTTACATGCAATTTTTTTAATTGTATCATTTGAGAAAAGGTTTTCATTTTTTCTTAATATTTTGCTATTTAAAATACATTTTACTGCCATTCTTTCTTCTATTCCTCCCAGATTCTTGCTATGTCCACTGCTATAAAATGTTTGTTAGTCTTCATATTGGTTGACTACTTTCTCAGATGATTGAATCACCTCCAAGAATCTCACCACCTCTGTGAAGCCCCCAGTAAGGCTGTTGAAACCACCATTCATTTTCCCCACACACACCCTCAGTCATCTGTCAGTTTTGTTTGCTGGGATCTTCTCTACTAAAAAGTATCACTAGATCTGCCAGGGAGATTTGGAGACCCTGGCTAAGTACTATACTTCTTTGTTTCACTGTGAGGCAGACTAGGAGTTTGGTAACCCTAGGTGATAAGTTGTGTGGTGCCTGAGCCTCTGTGTGCCTGCCAGAGGTTCACAAACTTCATAGTGGTCACTTAGGATCAGGGAAACATACAAGGTAATTGGCATTGCAAATGTACAGTGGAAGTTATCTTTGTATTACACCTACAAACTTGGGCTCATGTAAGTCACTTTCATCAAAGATCAAGATAGACAAGTACTTTCCAGTTTTTTTCAGCTGGAAGTCTAAAATTTTACCTGAGATAAGTATTTTTCATAAGGCAAAGAAGGCCACATTGGGCTTCTGAAAGTTCTTAAGACAGTTGTCCCAGAAGCAAAAGGATATATATGCAAATGAGGCCCCTCGTAGGTGGTCATAATTGTTTTATGAGACAGCATATTTTAAAAGAACATATGATTGAAATTATAGGTTCAGATTGCCCCTCTGACATTTGCTTTCCGTGTATCTGGACTATTCACTTTAATTAGAAGGTTGTGTCTTTAAATGAAAAATGCAAATCAAAAGTAGCATTTACGCCAAATTTGTGTAGATTAAATGGGTTAATGTAAAGTATATGCGTAGGAAGGTGCCTGGTTTATTGACTGTTCCCTCACCCAGCATACTGGGAATAATCATTCTCCTTGCCCATATTCACCTTCACTAAGTTTTGTGAAGTCTGAGTGCATGTGCGCGCGCACACACACACACACACACACACACACACACACACATACACGGTCATGCTACCGGGTAGCTTGAAGCCCTCTGGGGTGAAATATGTGCTCACTGAAAGAACCAGTAATATTATTTCACTGCTTTCTTGAAAATATATACGAAAGGATTGGTTTACTGTGATTACTGACCTAGGTTAGGCTTAGAGCAAAGGCAGAATCTGTAAACATTTTGAGCTACTTGTATAAGATTGTCTAGAACTTCACTTTCCTCTCATTTACCTTACTCTGTGGGCCTATGTCTGAAGGCTGTTTTATCAAAAGGAGGAAAAAAAAACTATATCATTGGAGAGAAAATTGTGTAGAAAAATTGTTTGACTGAAGCCTCTGGCTCTCTCCACAGTGCTTGTGAGTCCAAAAGAAAATGGGTGAAAACACTAAACAATTTTAAAGACTTTCAGACATGGGGATGCTTGTTAAATGAAGACAGAACATGTTGATTCATTATTCGTTTTTATGTCAATAGCATGTCTACATTATGGCATTGTGTTAGAAGATACGCATTTGTTCAACCTATGAAATAGCTAGAGTCAGGAAATAAAATTCCTATCACTCAGATAGCACCTTAGAGGAAAAAAAAATGTAAATACTTCAAACTTTGAAATACTTTGTTTAGAAAAAGTGATATATTGAACATGCATACATGTTCAGTAAATTGTGAGGGTTACTGTGAGCAGCTTTTGAAACTACTTGAGGGTTTCAGGATGCACAGTTGTTTCAGAGGAACTGTATTTTTTAATATCACATCCAATGTGGAAATTTTTTTTCAACACTCATCAAATAGAGACACCACTGAGAATCTGGAAACAATATTGAAGCATGAACCAATTAGTGATGAGAAAATGCATCATATTGGATAGTCACAATAGTAGTACTTAGTGATCAAGGAGTTCATTTTATTGTATAGTATTGGCAAACAACTGATAACTAAAAGTTACAAGAAATAGTAACAACCAGGGTGAAAAAGCAATCAATTTTGAAATGTCAAGAAAACTGTTTATTTATTTTCTAGGAGTTAGTTTAATTAGAAACGTTGTTATAAGTGCCACAACCCTGGAAGGAACATATTTTATAAGTGGGCCCCCGCCGCCGCCCCCCGGGCCGCCGCCGCCCGGGCCGCCGCCGCCCCCGGGGCCTCCACCGCCTGGGCCGCCGCCGCCCCCCGGGCCGCCTCCGCCCCCCGGGCCGTCGTGGGCGCCGCCGCCGCCGCCCGCTGCGCCCGCGCCGCCCGCACCGGCCATGAGCGCGAGCGAGGGCGACGAGATGTGGTCCAGCAGGTCACCGGGCTCGAGCGCCTGGTGGTGATGGTGGTGGTGGTGGTGATGCGCCAGCGGCACGGTGGACGTGGACGTGCATGGCACGCTGTTCATCGTGTGGTACGTGGCGTCCGGCTTGAACGGGTGGCTCTTGCCCTGGGACACGGCGATGTCCACCGCCGCCAGCGCCTCGGCCCGCGCCAGCAGCGTTTCGTCTAGGCTGGCGAAGAGGTTGCTCTGTAGCTGCAGGCGACACAAACCAAACCAAAAAAAAAAAAAAAACCACAAAACCAAAAAAAGCAAAAACACAGAACAACCACACACAAGCCGGAAAGTACAAGCAAAAGGCAAACACAAAGCAAGCAAAATAATAACGACGAGGGTGGGGATAGTGGAGACCGGGAAAGACAGAATAGGGACACATTGGGGACGAGACAGGGGGTCAGATGAGAAGGGACGGGAGTGTGAGGAGAGGGGCAGATGCGGAGGAGAGGGGGACACAGGAACACATTCCGGGGACGGGCGTGGGAGACGGAAAAGGAGGGGGAAAGAAGAAGTGCAGATGTAACTCGCAGCTGGGGACCCGTGTCACGCACCCGAACACGCACAGAAAACGCCTTTCCAAGGCATGAAATTAACGGGAAAGAGTGAAGGGAAGTCGAGACTCATGGCCCCAGCGCTCCCCACTCCGATCGCCGGCGCCCGACACGGAGGCAGAGGCGACGGGAACACGACACTAAGCGCCACTGTACGAAGCCTGCCTCGCAGCGGGACTCTTCTAAAACTCCCTGCCCGCAAATGCCCGCAAATCCCCGCACCGGGACCTGTACACACATCAGCACCCGACTTGCAGCGTCTCGGAGACGGGGAGGGGGCGGGCGCGCGGGCCGGGTCCGCGGGCATGGGGCGCTTACCGGCGGCGTGGGCAGGCAGGCCCGCCGGATGGCCTCGGAGCTGGAGTGCAGCGACGGGTACTTGTGCTCAGGGAGGGTGGGATGCATGGCAAAGTGAGGCTGCTTGCTGTTCATGGACATCATCTTGATGGCTTGGCATGTAAATCCACAAACACTCCGAAAGTCCGCGGGAAAGTGCGCACGCCGGCTCCCCCGGCCTCCCTTCGGAGGCTGCAGCCGCGGCGGCTGGCGGCGCGGAGGCGGCGGACGCGCCGGGGGCCGCTGCTGCTTCTGCTGCCGCCGCTGCCGCCCGGCGCTGCTTTGACCGCGCAGACCGCCGCGCACCGGCCTCGCGATCCCACTTCTCCGAGAGCTCTAGCCCCGTGCGCCGACGGGATGCACTCCTCTTACACCTGAGCCCCAATTCTCGCGGCCGGTCCGGGGAGCTCTCGCGAGAGCTCGCGGGCCCGCCGCGCTGACAGGCATCAGCTGTCTCCGTCTATCTGACGCGCGCTCTCCTTCTCGGCGGCGCCGTGCGTCTGCGCGCGCGCGCGCGCGCGCTCTCCCGGCCGCGACCCGCGCGTGGGAGCCGCTCTTATAGTGACCACCAGCAAGGACAGCGCAGGTGATGCACCTGTAGCTACCCGGACATGCGCACTGCACTTCTCACCTTTCCCATCGCGGGTCTGGAAAGATCAAAAGGGCCAGCTATTGTCTGAGGGTAGGCATCTTTTAGGGGGAGAAAGACAAGATGCTCGCCAGCCCCTGGGTGGTTTCCCTCCCTCCTCCACACCCTCACCCCGATCGCAAGCCCTGAATATATGCGCATTACTTAGGCACACCTCCTCTCCGGGACGTCTAACAAGCTGTTATATAATGTATACAGCTGGACATTTGTATGTTAAATTATGCCCGCGCATTCTTCTGTATGCAGTATAAATAACAGAAATGCAGAAGGTGCTGTCTTTTGCGGCAAGAACCTGTTTCTTTCATGGTTTATAAATAGGTTCCTGGAGAATGAATAATCGCGGTGACAGACATTTGTTTGAAGCAGTCAGATGCTATTGATTTCCATATGATTTAATTTCCTCCGCATACTTTGTTGTTGTTGTTGTTGTTGTGACTATAAGTGTGTCAGGCACCGACAGTGACAGCCACTTAGGAGCCACAAGGAGCGTGTGCTTTCTACTAGGGAACGGCTGGTTGTTGAAATGAAGTTGTGCATTTCTCTTATTGTTTGTCTCCTTTAACCGTGTACAAACCCACATTTCAAACGAACTCCAGATGATCTGAGGCTTCTTGTAATCAAAAGGAAAAATAGTTAACAGGGTGTAGCTGGGATCCTTACCGCTCTTCAGCGTACACACACACACACACACACACACTTTATGTTGGAAACTCCAGGAAAAGGAAATAGCTTCAGAGAAAAGGGAATAAGATGTTGAAGAGAACTTTATTTTCCCTTCCATCGTTTTGGCTTGTTTGCCCACCACCCGTCCGCCCCCCGCCCCCCAGATACAGATATACATACAGATGTATAGATGTGTATATATATACACACACATTTTTTTTTCTTCAGTAGGGAACAGAATCAAGCCAATTTATAGGAAAGCGTGATTAAAATATTAATTCAAACCAACTTAAAAGAACGGGGCCCAAGCTCTGGTCCAGCCTTTATTTATTTATTTTTTATTATTGTGAAATCAAAACGTAAGAAGAATAAATCAATTAGCCAACCTGCTATGTGGCCCTTATGTGGCAGGCAGATCAAGGGCCTCCCGGGGAACCATAGTTCAGGTGCCCGAGTCCCCAGGGACTCAGCCCTTGCCCGGGGTGACAACAGCCCAGATGTTATCACATCTGCAGCGAGAGAGCTGGAGAACGGCAAGGGGCTGCGTAGGGGAGGCAGAGATCAGATAAATAATCTTTCTGGTCTCTCCCACAGCAAGGAGGTCTGTATTTCCGCCAAAGATTAGATCTCATTTCTATAAACCTAAATTTACGTTCGCTTGGATCTTTTCTTTGGATAAACGCGTGCGTATTTAGCGGACAAGCTCCCTACTCAAATTCCAAGAAGAGCCCAGAGGCGTCACTACGGCTTTTTTTTTTCTTTTTTCTTTCTGTCTTTTCTTTTCTCTCTACCTTTCCCCCTCCCCCCACCCCCTCGCAGCCCGAGAGGGGAGTTAAGAAGGATGTTCACTTGCTAGTGTGAGAAGGAGCCTCGTTTCCATCCATTACGCGGTCCCTTGGGAGTGCTAAGTGCAACTTTATCTCTACGGGGAATGGACTACGAGCAGGACATCGCTGGAGGGAGCGAATGAGTCCTACGGTAGTCGTCGCACCGGGTGTCCAGGCTTAACTTAATCCTTCCTGACACCCACCGGGGCGGTTCCCTGAGCTCGCCTGCGTTAGGGGGTCGGGGGGTCGGGTGGGGGGGCAGGAAGGGCGCCGCAGAGGATGAGCGCCTAGATCCTGTCTCCCCCTCCCCCCAGGGAAACGCTGGCTTTTAGGGACCCCAAAGAGTGCAGGGGAAACAAATGCAAATAGCACAGTTTGGGGGCCACATGGACTCTGAGAGAGAGAGAGGTGAGCCCCTGAGTACCCGAAGCCCATCTCGGTTTACCCTCCAACACTGAGAGAGCGCCAATTAACCCAGTGGGGAGGTCCCTGGCCTGAGGTCAAGACTTCACCACCTTGTCCAGACTCCTCTCCTAGTTCACTTCTTTTAGGACAACCAGAGTCCCTGCCCAGCTTAGGGTGGGCTCAGACCTCTGCTCAGAATGTCTCACTTTCCCCCAGGGCTAGAAATAGGGCCCTGGGTACAATTCCCATCTCACTACACCCCCTCACCCTACTAATGGATTGGAAGCCCATTTAGGGCACATCTGTGTCCACCCTGGCACTTAGGAAGGGTGCTTGTCACAGAGTGAAAATACCCCATAGAACAATACACGTGTATAGGAAGGAAGAGAAGGCAGAAGGCAAGGGCCGGGAGAAAAACAAAGAGAGTTCAGCAAGCCAGGACCAATGGGGAGTGGGGGGCAAGCAGGAAGATCACCGAAGGGGTCTCCTCTCTCCCTGAAAAGGAGATGCAGATTGGAACAGAGGGCGTGCTGTCCCCACGCAGAGCTGTCTATCTTGATTCCAGCCAGCAATTTTTCCAAAGTCATTTATCTCATCCTTCCCTCATTTACTTTCTACCCTACCTTCCTTCCTCAAATGCTTGCTGAGCACCAGTCTGGACCAGGGCAAGACACTGGAGATAAAATGAGGTATAAAATACAGGCATCTGCCTTCGGGCGGTGGCAGTCTCTGAGAGTGGGGTAGCTACAGGTGAAGGGGGTGTTTTTGTGGTACGGGTGTGACAGGTGCGATGAGAGGGAATTGTATAGAAATACCGGGTGGGGTAGGGGATGATGCTTGGAGAATTATCCTGTCACATCCCTGCTGGGCTTCAGCCCCAGGCTAGAGAGTGGGACACTGTGGTAGATCTGCCGGTACTTCCCTGGACCTTATCAAGCCTTTCCCTACTCTCCCCAGGGCAGTGAAAGGAAAGGGTGGTGGACTGGGGCTCAGTCCATCAATGTCACTGCTTTGTTTTCCGGGTTTGTCAAGTGCAGTAACTAGATGGTCCCTGCCAGAGCTAGTGATGCCCACGTGGGGTCTGAGCCTTGGCATAGAATCCTGGGCAGGTTGGGGTTTGTTTTTTTCTTTTTTTTTTTTCTTCCTGTTTAATGACCAACACAGATTCCCTCCTCACCCGATCTCATAGCTTTGCATTTTATCAAGAGGGAGATAATGAATGCACAGCTATTGATTTCCAAGGAATTTCCGCCCCCAGGGATAGGGAGTCTATCATCTGGATCAGAAACACATTTCTTTCCCTCATTAATTAATTTTCTCCTCCTTCGTTGGCAGGCCCCACTTCACATTTCCTTTCGCAGCGCCTCTTTCCCGGGCTGAGGGAGCAGACGTTGGTAGGCTGGAGTGAAGACCCGCGGGAGAGGCGCAGCGCAAGGGCGGGACCGGCTGGGGGTGACTGCTGCTCGCCTTTAATCACCCCGCCCCCTCCACAGCTGCCACTGGCTGGGCAGCCTTTCTTCTTCCGAAGCGGCGCGGGGAAAGTTAGCTCTGGACTCAGCAGCCCCTACCTGCACGCCTCCCTCTTCCCAGCCCCACCTCTGGGCTTGAACCCGATTTATTTATCCGCATTCGGGGACGCCGAGAGCGGTGGTCCTGAGGAATGTGCACTGAAGTGAGTGGAGATTGTGCGCGTACAAGAGAAGGGGATCGGGCCTCACGTTCTTGCCCAAACGCGGGGATCTGGAACAACATGCAAACCCAGGCGGCCCAAGACGGAGCTCTGCTCCTCGCAGATGCGGGCCGCCACGTTTCCTCCCGGCTGCCGCCCAGAAACTCGGCCCGTTCACCGCGCAGCCAGCGCCCTGCGCGGGGGAAGTCGCCAGAGCCTCGAGTCGGCCGGCTTCCGAGGCCGCTTGGGTTGTTTTAAGCGGTGGGAATGAACTGGCCAGCAGAGGACTAGGAGGCCTAGAATTGGGAGGGGGGCGGGGGGGAGTGTCGGTTCTCGGAAGAGGGGCGGCACTTGGGAGGTCCGGCTCCCTTCCACTCAGACACCCTCTGTCCAAAGAGTGGGACAGAGGAGGGACTAGTGCCGTGCTTTCGCTTCCCCTCCTGGCGGCCTTGCCAGCGCCAAACCTGGGCAGTTTTGCTCCTGGGTCTCTAAGCGCTGACCCTTGCGCATTCCGTTCCCGTCCCTCCCGCGGTGTGGGCACTGGGCTCCTCGCCCGCCCAGCCCGCAAGGCCGTCCTGGGAGGTCGCCCTGCCCTGTGCCACCGCTCAGCCCGAGGCGCGAGTTCACAGCCACGCTCTCGTTGGCGAGAGCTGGGAGATTTCCCACAGGCCACTGTCCTTCCTTTCTACCCGGCTCTGCCCGCACCCGCGGCCGCTTGTCTCCCTCGGTCCCAAAGGCCGGGGTGGGTGAGTTATTGAGGCCGGTGATCAGCTCCTGTGAGGCTCCCAGCTGGGACCTGCGGAGGAGGTTCTCGAGTAAGCCGCTGGAGAACCCAGTGTTTTTGTTCTTCTAGCCGTTTAATTCAAATGCCACTTCCGTTGGGAACATTTTC